CCCGGTTGGCACAGGAAGACCGACGGCTGCTAAACCAGGCTGGCCGTATCTATGGCGGTCCCTGGGACAAGCTTTTCCAGGAGGAGAGACAGCAACCCAGCCCGTTTCCCTGCGGAGCGGAGCGGAGCGCGGCGCTCTTGGACAGGACCGGGGCTAGGCCTGGAGAAGACCGAGGGGGCTCGACGCTACCCGCAGGGCGATGACCCGAGAGAGGATGAAGCCTATGGCCCGACAGGGCAGGACGAGGAGCAATGGGCGCACGCTGGGGCGGGGGGAGACTGAGGCTGGGGTCGAAGAGGAGCTTCCCATCCCGGGAAGTTTCCAAGAGCCGGTTGCACGGACACGTGCTGCTGCTCGGGAGGGTGCGGCGGGGGGGGGGGGGGGCGCCGCGGGCCGCTGCGCCACTCGACGTGCCCTGTCCCCGTAGGCTCCCACGGGGTCTCAGCCGGGCTGCCACGGGGGTGCCGTGAGACCCCGCGGCGTTTGCTGCACAAGAGGAGCTAGCGGGCACGCAGACACTGCTTATGGTCCCGCGGTGGTGGGCGCCGTTTAGTGCCCACGGCACCTCTGCACGCTCCTGCCTTGTTTTTCCCCCCCGTCTCCATTTGCTCCCCAGTCCCTGTTCCCCACCCCAAGGAAAGTGTCCTGATAACCCCTTGTCCGTTCTCATCTCTCTGCCCCCAACCTGGGACTCTCCATCATCTTCCTCTCCTCGGTTCCTGACCACCCTGCTGATTTTTCTCTGACCCCAGTAGTATGACCTGGGAAAAAAGGGGCAGCTCCCAGGCAAAGCTTCTCGCCAGCAAGGCTCCCTTCTCGTCAAAGCTCCCCTTTCCGTTTAAAGCAAGCGCCAGCCTCGGGTCAGAGGAGTCCTTCATCGTGTCCTGGCAGCGCTAACATGGCTGACGCTGGGGGCACGGCCTCGAATCTGAACAGCAGAGACTCCCGACGCCTGACGAAGCCCGCTTGTGCCAGAAAGCTTGCAAATAATTTTTTTCCAACTACTCGGTTGGTCTAATCGAAGATTGTGCACCTGCCCAAAAAACCTCGCCTGCCTCTGTCCTTAGACCAACACGGCTACGACCAACAACCCCAGAAGCCACCTCCTGCACACGCAGGCTCTGCATCTGCTTTTTTTTCTGGAAGGAGGTTATTTAGGGCCATTTAAAGGCTAGATTTCTGTTGCACGGGAGGCCATGTGGTTCCCATCATGGGAGGTGTGCATTGACAGGCAGTTTCGTGTTGTCTTTTATAGGCCTTTTTGTTCATATCATAGCAGCACACGTGCTCTAAAGCTGGACCGCCAGTTGTCAGACCACCGGGGCTCAAACAACAACTAGATCCAGGTCAGACCGTCCAGTGGAAACATGAGGTGCAATGGGACTAACCGCTTTTAAGATGGAGCTTGATTGGGCTGTGAGAGGGGTCACAGGACACGGTGACCCTGCAGGTCCTTTCCAAGCTCGGTCCTGAAACGTATTTAACATGTTTCTGTAGCATATCACAGCCTCCTTTGGGCACCATAAAGAAACGTACTGGGAACGTAGAGCGGGTTGGTCTCGTGGATGCTGAAAAAGTAGGTGCAGACGATGTGGTGCATCATCTTATATAACACGCTGCAATTTTCTCCCGTTAAAGAGAAACTAGAAGTTTTATTAATATGTATCAAATAATTTATCAAATATTTATTGGAATGTGCACGACTTTGCTAGATGAAATATTAAGTTTAAAAAAAATACCCACAAGGAACTTCCCCTTTTTCCAAGGGGAAAAAAATAGTCAACATAATGAAAAGATGCTGTGCCATGTGTCCTGTAGCCATGACAGTGATTCAGATTTATAAAACAAAATCAAGTCTTCTTGAGCATCCTGCTAGTACCTACAACACGTTGCTGTCGGTTGTTTCTGAGTCAACATAACTACACCAGAATTAAGGTTTTTAGCTAGCGCAGGGGTTGTGAAACGGGAGAGAGACGGGACTGGGAATGGCTACCAGACAGTAACGCTGCAGAAGAAAGGATCGTTTGAA